TGTGTCAACTCTTGAAACTGTGCCTGCAGTCAACCTACTTCACATATGGGGAGCAATATTATAGGCAGAAACATGGGTGTGCTATGGGGTCTCCAGTTTCTCCTATTGTTGCCAACCTGTACATGGAGGAGGTAGAAAAGAGAGCCTTGACGTCCTTTTCAGGGACACCACCAAGTCATTGGTTCAGGTATGTTGACGACACCTGGGTTAAAATCAAATCTCAGGAAGTCCATCATTTTACTGACCACATCAACTCTGTGGATAAATACATCAAGTTCACACGAGAAGATGCAAAAAATGGCAAGTTGGCTTTCTTGGACTGTGAGGTCTCAGTCTCTGATAGAGGACATTTGCAAACCGAGGTGTACCGCAAACCCATCCACACAGACCAGTATTTGCAGTTTGACTCCCATCACCCTTTGGAGCACAAGTTAGGAGTCATTAGGACTCTGTACCACAGAGCAGACAGCGTCCCCACTAACTCAGGAGCCAGGCAGAAGGAGAAATCCTATACAAGACAGGCTCTAGAGCAATGTGGATATCCTAACTGGGCCTTCCTGAAAGCAGAGAAGAAACCCAAACAGGACTCCAGTCAGCCATCAGGTGAAAAAGAGGAACCCAGACCCAGAGCAGTGGTCATTCCGTATGTTGAGGGAGTATCAGAGAAACTGAGACGTTTATTTTCTAAACATAACGTCCCAGTGGCTTTTAAACCCCAAAATACATTACGGCAAAGACTGGTTCATCCCAAAGATCCTGTCCCCCGGCACAAACAGAGTAATGTTGTGTATGCTGTTCAGTGTCAGGAGGGTGATCAGTCTTACATCGGGGAAACTAAACAGCCACTGGCCAAAAGGATGGCCCAGCACAGAAGACCAACATCATCAGGCCAGGATTCTGCGGTCTACACTCATCTCCAGGCCAGCGGTCACTCTTTCAAGGATGAAGATGTTCACGTGCTGGACAGAGAGGAACGATGGTTTGAGAGAGGAGTAAAGGAGGCCATCTTTGTGAAAAGAAACCGTCCATCATTAAACAGGGGTGGAGGCCTCCGGGTTCAACTGTCCCCCTCTTACAATGCTGTGATTGCTAGTATCACTCAACCCTCTGTGAATAGTAAACAGCCATCAGGTGCTAATGATCCATTGTTAGGCTGATGGTCCTTCTTGAGCATGTGATCAACTGGTTTTGGTTGTCAGCAGCAAACTGGTTGATCCACTCTGAGAAGGTGCTATTTAAGAGACTGAGCTGAAAACAGCACCTCAGACTGAGGAAGTCTCTTGGATGAGAGACGAAACGTTTCTACATTTTTTGCTTTGTTTTGTTGTTTTTTTGTTTTTTTGAATGTCCAGAGGACCAGATTGAACTTTTTTGGAAAACCTCAAAAGTTAACTACCGGTAAACTGCACTGTATCTGTACCTGTTGATAGAGGCAGCCTCCCAACATGGAGGATGTACCAGAAATGCCCCTGATGTTGCGTCACGGGAACTATGTATTGGCTGTATCGTGTCACGTGGTTTCAGCATGCAGGCAGGCAAAACACAGACATATGACGCGCTGGTTCTGCCCACAGACGGGGTTCACGTGTGTAGCGCGTGTGGCGTTGAACGGCTTCAATTTATGAGCGAAAAGTTGCTCCGTGTTTGTCTTCAAAGGGGACCGCAGCCTCCCCTCCTCCTCCCTCAGCGTTAAAGTCAGCCTCTGAGTGTTTGAGAGCATGAACGGCTTGATTCATTATCTCCACAACCGGACTCCTCTTCATCAAAGAACTCAGAGGACAGAGCTGTGTCTGGGATTTCAGTTGGTAAGTATACATTTGTTAACATTACTGCAGCTTAATACGTGCATCGCTGAGTTAAACTAGGATCCATGTAATGCTAACTGTAAGATATTAGTGTGGAGCTTTATTTGATCTATGTAGCTAGCTAAATTCAGAAGCTACAGTGCCTTGCGAAAGTATTCGGCCCCCTTGAACCTTTCAACCTTTTGCCACATTTCAGGCTTCAAACATAAAGATATAAAATTTAAATTTTTTGTGAAGAATCAACAAGTGGGACACAGTCGTGAAGTGGAATGAAATTTATTGGACGTGTCAAACTTTTTTAACAAATAAAAAACTGAAAAGTGGGGCGTGCAATATTATTGGGCCCCCTTGCGTTAATACTTTGTAGCACCGCCTTTTGCTGCAGTTCCAGCTGCAAGTCTCTTGGGGTATGTCTCTATCAGTTTTGCACATGGAGAGACTAAAATTCTTGCCCATTGTTCCTGCAAAACAGCTCGAGCTCAGTGAGGTTGGATGGAGAGCGTTTGTGAACAGCAGTCTTCAGCTCGTTCCACAGATTCTCAATTGGATTCAGGTCTGGACTTTGACTTAGCCATTCCAACACCTGGATATGTTTATTTGTGAACCATTCCATTGTAGATTTGTCTTTATGTTTTGGATCATTGTCTTGTTGGAAGATAAATCTCCGTCCCAGTCTCAGGTCTCTTGCAGAATCAAACAGGTTTTCTTCCAGAATGGTCCTGTATTTGGCCCCATCCATCTTCCCATCAATTCTGACCATCTTCCCTGTCCCTGCTGATGAAAAGCAGGCCCAAACCATGATGCTGCCACCACCATGTTTGACAGTGGGGATGGTGTGTTCAGGGTGATGAGCTGTGTTGCTTTTACGCCAAACATATCGTTTTGCATTGTGTCCAAACAGTTTGATTTTGGTTTCATTTGACCAGAGCACCTTCTTCCACATGTTTGGTGTCTCCCAGGTGACAAACTTTAAACTACACTTTTTATGGATATATTTGAGAAATGGCTTTCTTCTTGCCACTCTTCCATAAAGGCCAGATTTGTGCAGTGTACGACTGATTGTTGTCCTATGGACAGACTCTCCCACCTCAGCTGTAGATCTCTGCAGTTCATCCAGAGTGATCATGGGCCTCTTGGCTGCATCTCTGATCATTCTTCTCCTTGTTCCAGATGTAGTGTTCTAAGGGCTAGGTTAGCTTCGCAGCTTCACTACACTATTTAAAATAACGGGTTCTCTCTTTTTCGAGCTAATTACAGCCATGTGACGGAAGTAACTGTGCGTAGATGTTTAATCAGTGACCTGAGACGTTAATTTTCTTTGACCCATGAAAATAAATTGGTCATTTATTGAACAGAATCAAAATTTAACATCAAAACATTGTACACTTGATTAGACCGATCTGGTTCTGATTAATAAAACTTGGCACGTTTTACTTAATAAAAACAACAGACATTTCTGAAGGCATCTGGATTAATTACAAGATAGAAGTTTAAAGATGGGAAAAATGGAGGAGTTTAAAGGGAGATGTGGAGGAAGATGTATGTCTGTAGACCAGAACAACACGCTCCTTTCA